CTCTCACTGACGGAGCCAGAGACGGTGGGTGAGGAGCTGCTCCTTCCTTTGGTCTGTCTAGTTCCAGAGGAGGACGGAGGCTGCTGGGGGACATCCAGGATCCCAGTGCAGGCATCTCTAAGTGCCTTCCAGTGAAAGGGAGAGTAGCCTGGGCTGTGTGTGGCCCGGGGACATGGTGAGTTTCTGCACAGGGGTTCCAGACTGCCGGGCAGGCAACCGAACCAGCGACTTGGCCCCACGGGACATGGGGCATAGCTCAGAGACTGATGGTCACTCGACTCAAGCATGGGAAAGAGCCCCTGGAAACAGGCAGGCCCGCTCAAGCCAGAGCCAACTTCTCCCAGCGATAAATCTTTCGAACACTGGAAGGGCCCTGTTCCAGGCAAATTCTGCCTAATTTCCTCTTCGAAAGTTGCCAAGTTCTCTCTCATTGTTGTATTGTCTCGAGAGGTGAGAAAAACAGCCAAGGGTGCACTGTGGGTGACTGTTCCCAAGTTCTCCTTCCTGGCCCAACTTCTTAGGGAAAAAACAGCACGTGCTTTTCAGACCGGAAAGCTCCTTCTTGCCGGCTTCCAGTAAGAAGGGAGCCCACCCTGTCCCTGCCCCTGTCGCCTGGCCTCTGGAGATCCTCTCGGGAGAAGAGCCAGTCTCGGAGGGTCATCGGGAAGGGACAGTGTCCTGGTTCTGGCTCTGCCCGGACCCTGGTTTGAAGAGCGGGGGCCTCTGTCTACTTCCCATGGACACGCGGACACCAACCGCGAGGCACGGATCCCCAGGTGGTCAGGGCCACGGGGGTCCTGAATGCTGCCCACCCCACCCCATGGGCCGGCAAGGAGCCCCCCAGGTGCTTTCATCGTGCCATTTATGCTCTTATGTAGTTACCTCCTCACAATGAAACACCAGCACAAAGGGCGTTAAGGGGGGAAAGAAGATAAATAGGTCCTTTCTGCACCCGGGGATCCTAATAACATGGCATTAGGGGCTCACGCTGAAAAACACAAAGCATCCAGAAACACACCAATTGCACCAGGCTGAGAGGCTGGCGTCTTTGTCTGGCGACTCGACCTGCTGGCAGAGTGCTCGGTGTCTCTGGGCTGGGCGAAGGCACGCGGGTCTAAGAGCCGCTCTTAACCTTCCCTGAACTCGGATAGGTCAGCTCCCAGGGGTCCGACTGAGGCACCGATTCAAATTCTAACAAAGCAGCTTTGTAAGGAGGTCCCTGGGAGAGGGACGGAGATTGGAGAGGGAGGAACAGAGGGAGGAGGAGACATAGAGGCAGTGAAGTCGAGAGGCACAGAGAGAAGGGCTGGGTTGGACAGAGGCCTAGAGACAGACATCAGAGAAAAGGAAACTGTTGGAGAAGCAGAGAGTGAAACATGGCAAGAGACAAAAGATTCAGAAGGGAGAGAGGGAGAGAGAGAGGGAGAGAGAAGGAGAGAAAGGGGGAGAGAGGGAGAGAGAGAAAGAGGGGGAGAGAGGCAGAGAGAGAGGGACACAGAGAGATAGAGGGAGAGAGAAAAGGCGAGAGAGGGATAGAAAAAGAGAGAAGAGAGAGAGAGAGAAAGAGAGGGAGACAGGGAGAGAGAGAGAGAGAAGGGGAGAGAGGGACAGAGAGAGAGGGAACAGACAGAGAGGGAGAGGGGAAACAGATTCACATGGATCCAGAGAAGCTCTCTGAGACCTGAGAAGGAGGGACCGGCAGGTGAGGGTGGGGACCCCCTGCAACCCGACCCCACTCCCAGGTAGAAGAGCTGCGCATGTGCAGTGGCACCGGGCGACCCCAGACCCTCGAGCCCCGTGAGGCTCCTTCCTCCGGCCGGGAAGCCTCGCGTGGAGCACGGGCTCAGAACGAGCGGCGCTGGGGCCCAGCCCTGTCCGGCAGAACTTTCTGTGACGGTGGAGGCTTCCTGACCAGGCTGTCCAATGAGCAGCCGACGTCCACTGAGCACTGGCGGTGAGGCCGGTGGCAAGGCCGGTGGCCCGTGGATCCGCCGTCTTCGTCTGACACAGTGACAATGCTGATGGCCCCGTGTGGCCGGGGGCTGCTGTTGGAGGGCAGGACTCGGGGCATTTTCACCCTCTGCCAACCAGGAGCCCACACAGAGCTTGTCCCATCGGCCTCGTCCCCCGGGCACCTGGGATGTCTCGGTCCCTCCCCCGCCCCCAGCAGGGAGGGCTGCTCTCTCGTGCCACTGCTCTGGGTCCTGTCACGTGAACCAGGACAAATCCAAAGCAAAGCATCCCAGCGCCTGTCACAAGGGCCTGTGAGACGCACGGTGGCCGGCACCTCAGGGAACCAGCCCGGGGCTCCGGGTACCTCCTCAGCCTCCTCCCGGCCCAAGGCCTACCTCCAAGATGACTCGGAAACCATTCCCCTCCCGAGACAGCCGCACCACCCATGAGTCACGGGAGGAGGGGGAGGGGGTGATGATGAGAAGGAAGCAAGGTAGAAGCGGATGAAGGGGTGGAAGGAGAGACTGAGGCGGGGGGGGGGGCGCTGCACCCACCTGGGCTCCCCGAGTACGGGGGTGGAGGGCTGCGTCGGCGTCCCCGTCCCAGCTCTGAGCCGGCTCTCCCGCTCCGTCTATCCGCGGAGCTGGGGGGCAGCAGCGGGCGAGCGGGGGGGGATGCTGGAGCGGGCCCGCCTGTCGGCACGGCAGGGGGAGCTCTGACGTGCAGCCGCCGGATGCGGCCCTGGCCAGGCGAGTCATCACAGCCGGCCCGCAGCCACGGCCTGGGTTAAAGGGATATTCCACTGCCCGGCAACCCACGTGTCTCCAGGCCTCACTGATGTGCGGCCTTCCTTGGGGGTACGCTGGCCGCTCCGACCCAGAAGCAACAAGGCCCTCCCGCTGGCAAAGCAGCAACCACGACACCCCCCAAGGAGATGGGGGCTCAGGGACGCACCTCCTCCAGCTGGGCTGTTTCAGGGTCCCCGCCCCTGCCTCCCTCCGACGTGCCCACATTCAGACCTCTCTGCCCTGCAGCTGGATGGATACCTCCATTTCCCCCTTTTCCCCGTCACCACTTAAGAACCCTCAGTGGCTCCCTACTGCCCTCAGGACATAGCCTTGGCTTCTTTACTCAGCCAACAAGCCCAGTACCATCTGGCTATGACCCAACAGCCCTGAACACATCCACGGGGCCCTGAACATGCCTCCCCCTCTCCCACGTTCATGCCTTGCACCCGCCTTGCCTCTGCCCTCAATGTGTCCCCCCCATCCTGGCGCACTCCTACTCACCCCTCTACGCCCGGCTCTAACGTCACCATCCCCAGGGAGCCTCCTCTGGAACCCCTAGGCCGAGTGAGTCACTCCCTGCTCTGGGCTTCCAGTCCTCCGGGATGTGCCTCTCTTTTAGCTATTGTCCCTGCAGCCACCGTTTACCGTTCCGCCCGCCCCAGAGGGCCCAGACCTCTTCAAGGATGGGGCCGAGGGTCTTATTTGCCTTTCTCCCCCGCACAGGGGACAGACCGGCTCAGCTTCTCCACAGAACCCTATTTGTGCTCCCCGGAATCTTCCCCTGCGGCTGAGGCCCCAGCCCACAGGGGCCAGATGGACAGACACGAGAACTCTGCCCGCTGGAGGCGAGGAGGGAAGAGACGAGAGCCCTCCAAAGAAAGAAAGATGGCTGATGTGGAGGGCGCCAGAGGCAGGAGGAAAATACAGGGGCAGGCATGGTCTGGTGTCCTCCAAAGATGACAGTAAAGACCAGGATTTTCCTAAGGAATGAGCTGTTGCAATCAGCTTGTGGAGCCTGCGTGCCTTGGAGGCTGAACTGCGCGCCTCCTGGGTCAAACGCCGTTACGCAATCTCATGGCCACTTTGGAAACATGTTTGAGGGAAGCGTCTCTTTGGGCTCAGGGCAGATTTCCCTGGAGTGACAGTGAGAAAGAAACTGTTGCTGAAAGAATGGCCTGTTCTCCCAATGATGAGAGAGTGCATTCTCTCTAACGAGGAGTCTCAGACTTGGGGGTCCCTGCTGGAAACTGGGGCGGCTCTGCCTGAAAAGATACGGAACATGTCCTGTGTATGCACTACAGCAATTTTTTCTGCCACGATTCCATTCTTGATGGGCCCACCTCTCCCCGACCACACGGTCTTGGTAGGGCTATCAGAGTACACGCTGCCTAAGGTCAAGGGTGGGTATGGAACCTAGGGTAGGGCATTTCATGGGAGGCATGGGACTACAGCAGAGCCAATCAGAATCTTCTATGAGATTTTCTAGGAAGATACTAGAAGGAAAATGGACTCTCACATTTTTAAAAGGACAGAAGTCCATCTTTCCCATGCATGGAGAGTCCCTCCTTGACAATGAAGCCAACACAGAGAAGCAGAGCCAGGAGATGGAGAGAGAGAGAGAGGCACTGAATGTTAATAGCATTTGACTCCTGGATCAAGCTATGCTTGAAAGCCTCTCTTAGACTTCCCAGTTACCTTAATACAGTTACAGCATCAAACTCTCTTTTTGCCTCAGAGAGTTTGAACGTTTGCCTCATTTCCAACCAACAGCCTTGACCGAAACACACCAAATGCTCCCTCTCCCAAGGGGAAAGCTCATATTTCCATCAGGGTCTCAGGACTCAGGCCAACGAGAAGAACTTCCTCCCCACTTGAATTACAGCAAAAGGTGGCATCCAATCCTAACTTGCTTTTCTATAGCCTTTTAAGGCCTAACAACGTGGCTTTGTGCCTCAGTTTCCTCATCTGCAGAATGGAGATCAGAAGACCTATTTCTCAGGTTTGTTAAGAGAAAAAAAGCGTAAGACAGAAAGCTGCGGGGCCGCAGCAGGCCGGCAGTGGGAGCTCAGTCTGGGCACGTTCCCTCTTCCTTTGCCCCAGAGGGACTCCGTTTCTACCTTTATTACAGCAGAGGAAAAAGCACCCTAGGCTAAACAACCTTGCCTCCTGGTGGCTGGCAGTCTTCCTCTGAGGGAAAGAGGAGGGAGAGGGCACGGGGGCAGGGTAGGGAAACTGCTTGTTCATGTCTGTTTCTCCTACCTGCAGTAAGACCGTTCCCCCAGGAACCGTGAGCTGTAAACAGTACTTTGGGGCGTTCTCCCAGGACAGCAGCTGAACGTCCTCAATAGCGCTGTAGGAGACTGAGTTTTCCATGTACCCAGTTGGCTGCAGCAAAAAAAAAAAAAAAAGAGAGAGAGAGAGAGAGAGAGAGGGAGAGAAGAAAAAGAAAAGACACACATTGGTTACAAGACAGGCACAATATCCATGCCTCAGAAGAAGGTTCCAGAAAACATCCCCACCCCGGCAATAAGCAGACTGGTACAGACGCTGGGCAACTCTGGGAACCAAAGGAATTCCGTCTTTCCTGGCTGGCAGCATCCTGGCTGCAGGAAACGGGTCATGGTGGCAACGCGCCCGTGTTTGGGGGTGCAGAGTCGGGACTGGACTGGGGGCATGTGGAGGGCAAAGCCTGTGCATTGTCCCTCTGGGCATCTGTGGGTTTAGCACAGGGCAGGCTCTGGATCTCTTCAGCCCTGACTGTGGCCAAGCCACCACCTTCTCCTGCCCAGAAAGCCCAGAAAGCAGTCACAGACCCCACCGGCTTCCCGGTCTTATCTCCCTCCACAGACAAGCGCTCGCCACTCAGCACCCAGTCCCCATGGTCCACGTCAGCACACCCGATCCCCTTATTCCCTGCTCAGTGTCCTTCCACGGCTCCTGGTGGCCCAAGCATGAAACCCACACACCCGTCCACCCTCTCCAGGCCCAGTGGATCTGGTCCTGCTCCTTCCTTGAGCCTCATCTGCTTTCTTCTCTTCGTACACCTCCCCAGTGGCCTACCTGCCAAAGGCGTCGCAACTCAACCTGCCCCTTGTCCCAGAAAGGTTGTGGCTCCATCCCTGGCCTTTCCTCTTCTACCATCTAGGCCTCAGCTACACAGGGACTTCAGGGGGCCCTCCAGACCCTATAACCCAACAGGTCACATCCCTCCCTGGACCCTCGCTGCCCCCCACACCCTATTTAATTACTGGGGACTGATACTGTGTGTCACCTGCTGACATCTGCCTCCCGGCCAGGCTGCAGCTCGGGGAGGTCAGGCCCATGTCTGTCCTGATCCCTGTCCTCTCTCCCCAGTGCTCGGCACATAGCAAGAGCTCAACAGTTTGTGTGCAAAGAACAGTAACAGCTATCACTGATCAATGCTGGGGTAAGGGTGGGGAGAGAGAAATTCACAGCCACTCACTGCCGAGTGAGCTCCCCTGTCCTGGAGAGAAGGCACCAGAAACCAGGGAGATGCACTGGCCACAAGGTCACGGCGGGGTCCTTGTCACTCTGACCCCAGGAAGCCACGCTCAAGCAGCATCAGAGACGAGTATAACACAGCCGAAACGGCAGAGTGTAACAGCTAACATCTCCTAAGCTCGGACAGGCACCCAGCATTCCCCAGGCAGGTGGCAAGCGCTCTCTCCTTCCATGCTCACAGCAGTCCCACGGGGCAGGGGCCAGGACCATCCCATTGCACGGACGGGGAAGTTGAGATGTCCTGTGACTTGCTGTCCAGGGCAGAACTGAACCCGTGACTCGGAAATTAGCACCCTAACCCCTCCGCTGAGCTGCAAGCAAGAGGAGATGAGATTTGAAATCCATGGCCTGGCAAGTTCCATTTTACTGTCAGGATTTAGGACCTCCATGAGGGTTTCAATGCCCATTTCTGTCTGCCAAAGTAGAGATACAGTGTGGGGGGGCGGTGGAGAGGGGTGAGGGCGTGAGGGGTTCTCAGATTTTCCTGATACGGTCAGCCGCCAGGCTCAGGAAATAAGAGATTGATCAATCAATTTGCTCATTCACTCATTCATTCATCTGATGTACTTATTAGGCACTAATTACATTACAGGCCCATATGCCAGGTGCTGGGGATACAGCAGTAGATCAGACAGGAGCCCAGCGGTGCAAAGAGACAACAAACAAAAGAGGCAAACAGCAAGTGCTGTACCAAGATTCCAGATAGGGTGCCCAGGGGCTAGGAGTTGCAGCGCCCTGGACAGGAGGAGGGAACGTACATCCTGGAGCCTGTGGCCTGTGCCAAGGCCCAGGGGTGGGCACTGGCTGAGCATGTTCCGGGAGGAGCCGAAGGCCAGGGGGAGGAAGGCTCAGGGAAGAAAGGTCTTGGAGAGAGGGATAGCCACTCCCAGAGGGACCTGTGGGCCCTGCCAGGGGTCCTCGTGGAGGGCTGCAGGGGGAACAGACTCAGGAGGAGGGGGCAGAAGCAGGAACAGCCTGGAAGCTCCTGTAGGGGTCCAGGTGGCGCAACAAGCCTGCCGGGGCCCAGGGGCCAGTGGACGGTGCGACAGCGGCCCGCCCCTCGGCGCCAGTCCCCCAGCCGCTGTGTCTGACAGAGATGGTCACACGGGTACTTCCCAGAGGCCGATGTGGGGACCCCCCGCACCCCTCACCCTATGCCAGCAGCCCGGGCACTATCATGTTCTCCACGTTCTGCCGTTAGGGTGACTCAGCTCTCACAGCACATCTTGTCCCAAGAATATCGGCAAAACCAGGGGTCTGGAGGATGGGTTATACATTTATTTTCTGAACCCACGTTCAAATATTTATTGTTTGCTGCGGACTGTTTGTCTCCCCTGCTAGTGTTCCAGCACCAGGGGAGCAAGAGTTTCCACCTGGTCTGTTTCAAGGGCCCAAACAGACCATGGCATTTGGAAGCTGATCGTTATTTTCTCCATAAATGAAGGAATATCTTCCCAGATGAAAAACTCTTCATCCGTGTACTACTTACAATCACTACACACAACATCCTTGGGAAGATGGTTTTTGGGAGTCTTAAAAATTAAAAATTTAATTTAAAAAAAATTAAAAATTAATCAATTAAAAATTAATAAATTTTTAAAAAATGTCCTCTAAGAAGCAATGGCACCGTGCACCTGCTGCGCTGAAGGCCCTTCTGTATGGCTCACACCCGCCTCTCTCCCTCTCCAAAGTCCAGTCCGTCTCCAAATTGCAGTCCACTGACCCCTCGATACAGCCAGAGGCCAGGAGACACGGGCTACAGCGTGGTCACCAGCACATGTGGGAACGGCCGGCTCAAGCCACACCATAGAAAGAAAGAAAGGCCCGTCTGGAAAATCATTAGGACTTCGTTATTCAGACCAAGCAAATGGCCGGCCTCGCTCCTCTAGAAACACACCTTGAAGTCTCGAGGCTTCTGCTTCCCCGTGTCCTCCTCAGGGCCCGGGAGATGGGACGAGGCTCTGCGCGGCCCCGTGCTCGCCCCCAGCCCCTGGCAGTGCGCTCCGGGAGATGACCGCTCCGGACTCCCGGGAGGCGGGGCTTGCTAACCGCCTGCGTCTGCCTTTCTCACGACCCTGCTTCAGCTGCCTCAATGTGGCCTTGATTAGAAGTTGCAACATAGGCTTTTTGGGGAAAGGTTGGGTATAAATAAATACATACTGGTTTTTAATAGCAGATGTACTGCTTTCCCACTGTTGGAAGCAATACTGGCTAAAAGCAAAATCTGTAGAATCAACGGGACCTGTGTTTGAGCCTCTTACTGTGTGACATTATGCAAGTTACCGTACCTCTCTGAGCCCATTTTATCCAATGGTAAAATCAGAATTTAATAGACAGGATTATCAGGAGATCCAATTATTAAAGGAGTTCCAATCTGTCAAGGGCTTAGCGCAGCATCTGGAACTTCCAAAGAGCCAAATAAAAGGAACTACTGTGAGAAATGATAAACTTTATCTCTGGGTCCTCCTCCCCCAGACCCATAATTCCGATGTAACCGTGAGAAAACATCAGATAAACCCCAACTGAGGGATGTTTCTCAAAACACCTGACCAGGATGCATCAAAACCCAGGGAAGTCTGGGCAACTGTCCCCAGCTGGAGAAGCCTGCGTCCACAGAGACTGACCACTCCACGCACTGTGGGCTCCCCGATGCAGTTCTGGGACAGAAAAACAACACTGGGTAAAAATGAAGGAAAGTGACTAAAGCATGGGCTTTAGTAACAGCATATCAGTACTGGTTCGCTGGCTGTGACAAAGGTATCATGTTTCTGTGAGATGTCAACCACCAGGGTGGCGGGTTTGGGGTACAAGTAAACTCCTACTGCCTTTGTCACTTTCCCGTATATTCTCCCACAGTCCCAAGATAAAGGCTCAGTAAGAGAAACGAACCGCGGCCACACTGTTGAGCTCCCAGGGTCGTCTCTCCAGACAGAGCCCTGATGGGAGCCTGGGGGCCTTGCAAGGGACAGGGGCCGACCGGGACCGAGAGCCCCTGAACGCTGTTCTTCGGATTCAGGTGTGAGCCAGCACTGGCCACGGACCTGCTCCATCCTGGGTACTTTTGCACGGCTGGGGTGATTTCACAGATAACTGGTAATTCCCCGGTAATCTGAACACGATGATCAGAGCGACGGTGGAGGAGATTCCTACGTGGGGTAAAGGCTGAGTCAGATGAAAAGGAAAATGAAATTCTCCTCCTGGGGGAAGCTAGGAAATCCAGCTCTGCGAGGTACATGTAGGAGAACAATAAGCAGACCAAGTTCTCTCTCCGTGTAGAGGCAAGGCGAGGTGCACGGCAGGATTCCCGTCTGCGTGACATTCTGGAATGAGCCAAGCCCTGGGGCTTGAAATCAGACCAGCGGCCACCAGCGGCCGGGGCGGAGGTGGGGACCCGTTACCAAGGGCATGGGGGAGCTTTCTGGGGTGATGGAAGTGTTCTCGATCTCCATCACGGGTGGCAGTCACCTGACTGTATACCTTTGTCAAAACTCGAATCTATATGCTAAAAGGGTGAATCTTCCTGAATATAAATTATAAATTCAAACCCAAGAAAGACGATGTGTGAATATTACAGATAAGCTGGAAGATGATGAGTGGAAGGCAATCTTCCAGATAAAATCATGTCAAGACCACTCATTACTGCTTTGGTATATCACCTTCCTGAGGATTTTTAATACACAATTTTTTTTTTTTAACAGAGCCCGAGTCACAGGATACATATGATTTTGTAAATTCTTTTTTTTTCCTTCCTTCCTTCCTCTCTCCCTCCTTCCCTCCTTTTTTTTTTTTTTTTTTTAACATAATGTTACATCACACGCGCCTCCTATATTCTGGACAATAATTTCCAGAACTATCATTTAGTG